ATCTCATTTTCACTGTATTGCTATTTTTCCCTATTATCGTGTTAGAATTATGTTCTAATGAAATTTAAAGAAGCTATTAATCCATGTTGTATGTAACAATTAGCAAATTTAAATTTAATGCCAAATTGTCTTGAGGCTTATTGGTGGAAATCGAAATAATGTAGGAACGGTGAAAACTGCTCGAGAATTTACCTACAATTGTACTGGAGGAGTCGAATTGACGAATAATAAGTCGGACACACAGAAAAGCGCTTATATTCTCACGGTCAAAATGCCCAGGTATAGAATTAAGGAAACTAAGGACAAATAATTATAGGCTAATTTATTTTCATGAAATTTAAAATGTATTTAAAATGTTTATATTTATTGATTTTCCTTTAAAGGAGTTGTATAAATGATCGGTTCAACGGAAGATTTCGTCATTTATAATCAATTGTTTGATGATAATCGAGATTTACCTGATTAACTTGACTAATACTTAACCGATAATTGTAACTGGAATGAAGTGAATATGCATAAATTGAGAATTTAACAATTTCACATCTTTATAGAAAGACAAATTGTTGCGTAAAGCAATTAGTTAGCAGTAAAAGTGTGTATAATAGGAATTTTCACGATTTTATCGATTTATATTCAAAGGGAAAAATGAACTTTGTTATAAGTTGTTATTTAAATAAATATATGCAACATTTAATGGATGACTAAAATGGATGAATAGAGATGAGTTCACTTTTGTAAATCAAGAGGTCGTCGCCTTGAGTGGAAGTAGGGATCGATCAAATCAAAGAAGATCTTGCTCTGTGAAGAGTTAAGGATTCCATTTCTGGAAGGTGATACTTCCATCGTTAATATTTTGCAAAACTCCACAAAGTCGAAAATCAGGATGACTTCAATTTTTTATGCATTTTATCCAAATGTGAGGGCTTCATTGTGGACTAGCTTGAAAGTGTTTTCAAGAAAGTATTCCTCAGAATTGAAATTTAAATTTAAGAATCCACACGAATGTCGTTATGTATTATCGCACTGATTTCCTTCTTATTCTTATGACTACGTTTTCAAATTTTCGAGCAATGGGTGGAAGGGTGTTTAAAGATTTACCTATTTAGGTCTGAAGGCTGTAAGAGGATATCGAACCAGCCTATTAGCATTACAAGCTTGTGAAAAGTTACTTTTTTCAATTATTATTATTATTCATGGTAGCTCATCGTCTTTGCTTTTACGAATTGGATGCTATTTCATAGTCAATTAAATGAATAAAGAATGTTAATCCTCACCTTAAAAAAATTTGCGAACTTTTTCTGTAATGTATTATCTGTAATTGGTATTCTCAAATGAGAGATAGAATTTATAACTTCTGTAGAGCCACTCAAATGAATTTTCCAGATCTGGCAACTTCAATTTTCTATTTCTTCCATACCAATCAATCTAGAATAAGATAGCCAGTTGAAGTTAATTTCACCACTATTCAAAAAAGTACTCGACTTTGAACAATTGCCGGCACAAATAGTTCAAGAGCATTCGCATACTGATTGGGATTATTTGTTGGACGACCATTTGAAACAACCCAGGCAACCAATTTAGTTCGATTCTTATGATAAGACGGCAACAAATGTGTGACATTTTCTGACAGCATTTGAGAGACATGTTTTTTGGTGATATGACAGTGTTTCAAATCGATGACTTGGTTATATATTGTCGAACTTTTCAAAGTTATGTCAAAAATAAATTCTTTTATTTTTATTTTATAAAGCAAAACATATAAAATATTGTAAAATTAAATTCACTCTGCATTATTTTCTCGCTATTAGTCTATTTCTTTAACATGATTTTCATTGCGCGAAAATATGTCAAATTTAAATAAAACATTCTTCTTCGAGTTATTACCAATTAACTACCCTAATTTTAAACAGCATTTGCAATATATGACTTTTTTGCACAATTTTAGAAATTTAATTCCCAAATGTTAGAGATATTGGCAGATAGCTTTAAAATTAAGAATTTTCGTACTGTTTTGATGGTAAATAACTAACCAAATTGTTGACAATCTCAAAGTGATACTGAATTTTATTAAAATGGCAAGATTCATAAGG